AATCAATATTTAAAATTTTATTAAAAATTTTAAAATATGCAGGCAAATTTGCCTGTGTTACAATCTAAGGGATACTTGGACTATTTGAAAACATAGAAATACTTATTATATACAAACACATATTAAAAACAAAATTATTCAATTTCATTGGATTTGTTTAAATTATAAGATGATTGATCATAAAAATAGAATAGGTCTTGATAATAGAAAATGCAATCTTAGAGAAACAACAGCAAAAAAAAATCAATTAAATCGTAAACTTCATAAAAATAATTCTTCAAATTATAATGGAGTTAGTTTTGTTAATTATAGTAATGCTTAGAGATTTTGTTGAAAAGAAAATAATAAAAATAAAGCAAAAATATTTTGTATTAACAAAAAAAGAACTAGTAAACAAGCAATTAATTTTAAATTAGCTCATGATAAAATTACAGAAAATTTAAATGGATATCAAGTTTAGTTAAATATATAAAATTTTATTAAATAAAAGATATATAAATACAATAATATAACTAATTAAAAATCAAGATAACTAATTTCATTAAATTTTTTGCTGTCCTTATAATTATAATCATTAGTTGAATAATTATCAATTTCTTTAGTAAAATAATTATAATTATTAATAATGAATTCATCTTTTTCTTTTTCTTCATTTAATAAATAATCGTTAATTTCTTTTTCTTTTCTGTTATCAATTTGCCAATTTGTTAAACAATCATATTCATTGTCATCAACAATAAAGTTATTCTTTTCTTCTTCTTTGTTTACCAAATAAATATTAATTTCTTTTTCTTTCTTGTTCTCTTGTTCTTTTTTTGTTAATACAAAATATTTTTGCTTTATTTTTATTATTTTCTCTCCAACAAAATCTCCAAGCATTACTATAATTAACAAAACTAACTCCATTATAATTTGAAGAATTATTTTTATGAAGTTTACGATTTAATTAATTTTTTTTGCCATTGTTTTTTGAAGATTACATTTTCTATTATCAAGACCTATTCTATTTTTATGATCAATCATCTTATAATTTGAACAAATCTGATGAAATTGAATAATTTTGTTTTTAATATGTGTTTAAATATAATAAGTATTTTCATGTTTCCAAATAGTCTAAGTATAAATTTTTAATAAATTGATCTTGTCAAGATCAGTAAGAAATATAATTTCTGGTTTTTGTATTGTAACTTCAAGAAATAAAGTTGCATCAATTTTAACAACTTGATAAAAGTTTGATTTTCTTCATAGTTTAATAATCAGAAGTTTAGTTTAACTAGATAAAATGTCAAAGTCTTTAAATTTTTCAGACCAATTTATTTTTATTAATTAAAAGAAAATACAAGTCTTTTTATAATTTAAAAATTACTAAGCCATAATTTCAAAATTTAAATTTAAAACTAATATTTTCTTCGTTTAGATGATTCTGCTAATGATCTTTCATAATCTGAAAGTCTATCAGATTCATTTTCCTCATTAATTAAATTATTATTAATTAATTGTAAATCTTGCTCGATTTCTTGTTTATATTCAAAAAGCTCTTTACATTTTGGATAATTTCAAAGATATCATTTTTTAAATTCAGAAAAATTCT